AAAAATTAGATACAGGCTAGCACGGGGAAGGGTTTCAAAATGTAACCCGATTCTGGACAGATTTCGAGTATTTTCCTGCTAGCTGGAGTCCAGGCCTTTTTATTGCTTTTCTTCGGAAGTTTCTATTTCACTAGATTGATGGTCTTCTCTTATCTGTTCTTATGTGTATGTGTACTGTGTTGATTTTTTTCTTACATGAATTCCCGTTTTTTTTTTCTTTTCGTTGTGAACAAGTCTCGATTTCTCGGATGATTCTATGGAAATACATGCTATTACGTTCATCTGCACAGAATGATATGCGTGCAAAAAATACTTGTCCTGCATTTAAAAAACAAACCTACTCGACCGCTTCCTCTGAAACTGTTTGACTGTTAGATCCCACTAGCAGTTACAAGCTTTGGGAAGGGGGGTGGGGCAGTGGAGGTACCCATTTAATAATCATTTTGTTTTCGCTAGTAGGACAGCCTCAGGAACACATGTTGTAGGGTGTACGAATGCATAGAATTAGATGTGCTAAAGGTGAAGGTGTCCATAAAAATGTATTTAAAGACATTTTCTTCCCTTTCTTCAAGGGCATGCAGCCTCTTTCTCGAATAGTGTCAGAACTTTGCAGCCGCCACGCGATTTTGCTCATTTCTTACTTTTGGATGTCCTAAATGAGGAGCCGGGGATTTTTCTTGAAGTCATAACCCGACGTTTCGGAGAAACTGACAAGTGTCTTCAAATCCAAGCTAGTAAGGCCCTGTTCAGAGATGTCCGCTTGCGCGAAAAAACGCATAGGCGAAACAATGTGAAATATGTATCGACTGAACGAAGACGCACAGGCGAATCGTGAAGTGGGAGGATCGACGAAAATGAGTATCATACGCATCGACTTACGAACGCTTCGCTCACGCGATTTTCCGCCTGTGCGTTTCTCACAGTCGATACATATCAAACTCTTGACTGAAATTCGCCTGCTCCGGACGTTTCGCTTACGCGTTTCACAATTTCTCAGTCGATGCGTATCTAAATCTTGGCGGAGATTTTCGCCTGTGCGTTTTTTCGCGCCGGCGGACATCTCTGAACAGGGCCTACGGGACCCGGAGCGCTGTAAGGCCGATGTCAGACTTTGCGAATCGCGCGATTCGCTAGCGTCTGCGGTCGCGTCGCGGCCAGTGAATCACTCAATTGGCTGGTACCGCAACGCGACCGCGGACGCTAGCGAATCGCGCGAATCGCTAGTAGCGAATCGCGCGAATCGCTAGTAGCGAATCGCGCGATTCGCAAAGTCTGACATCGGCCTAAGATGGACCAGCGATGGAGCGATCGCGTCGCTCCGTCGCTGGTCCATCGCGTTGCAGTCGCCCGAGTGTGACCGACATCTGATTTACCCTCCCCACACCCAAACTATAAGTGAAGAATGGCGTGAGACGTGAAAGTGGGTAAAGGCCTGATATGCCGCCTAACCAAGTGGTGTGACTATAAATTAGAACTTTGCGGTATGATCCTCATTGTGGAGCGCTTCGAGAACAGGTGGACAAATCCCATGGATTGCTCCTGCTCCCGCTGGAGTGGCGTTACTGTTCTAAGAATAAGATATAGGAGCATGTGAGAAAGTTGGTAATATTCATCACATTTATTTCTCGCAATACCAACGTCGTTGTAGAATATGATGAACTGTAACGGTTAGCTCGTTCCTGGTTGTCCTGGTTGACCTCCTGGTTGTGGATTGGTTCCTCCTGGTTGTCCATTGGTTCCCGTGGCAAGCTTTTCACTAGGTTGATCCTTCTCTGAACCCTTAAAATGACGTCTTTACTTGCTATTAGTCAAATATTTATACGCCCAGTGTCTTCCTATTGTACTGGATCTCTGTTTCTATGAATAAACTACTAACTGTGGTCGAGGCCTGTGGAGCAGCGGCAGGCTGTGTAGGATTGGTCATAGGTGCACTTAGCTGAGATTTGTCCTCTTCGGGTGGTTTTTGTTGTTTTGCTTTGAAGCCCTGAAACGAGATCGGCGACATAGGCGAGCACTCACGATCAGTGCAGAGCTTATCGTTCCTGGATTACTCGGATTACTCACCGTGAACGGCTTGATGAAGTCTTTATCAGCTTTTGCATTGACGGCATTCGGATCGCTTGCGATGACAGGACATGGCCTAGCCTTCGGTGCCAAATTTGGCGCAATTTGCATTTTAAGCTGTTGGAACGTGATCTAAAACTAAGTTTACTTTCATCAGATCGTTCAGGCTAGAAGAAACGCACAGAGCTATTTTTTTGCCCTTCTCGTGCCATGCGCGAAAGGCCTTCTACTAGTTTTTCTATAATTTGATTTCCCTTCACAAAGTGACCTCAAGCAACAATCCCAGATCGAATTGATAGGGTAGGGGGGGGGTGATAAATGAGTAGGCGGCAGAAACAGACGTGTCTGGACGGAGTTTAGAAGCACAATCGCATCTGATGCATCTTTCATATCTGTCTGCCCGTCGGCTGTCTCATCCGCTACGTCTTAATTCAAGTTTCATGCTAAGAATGGCGAGGTATCTCGTCCGTAAGTTCACATTAGCCCCATCAGATCAGCTTGTAAGACTTTGGCTTCCATAGTGCACCAAATTGTCGAGCTCGCGAAACTGGCACTCTGTGATGCATGTGGGCTACTCTCTCCCATCCACAGCATGGATCCTTGCCCTTTCTAATGTCGTCCAGCGCAAGGGACGCTTATATAGTATGCAGTTGTGCCGCTTCAGAAGGCTGGTAGTGACTAGCGTAGCCGCCTAAACGCCGATGTATAGCTGGCACTTTGCCTGCCCTGACCAACAACTATGCTAATTCCTCTAGAATCTAAACAAACGTTCTAAGCACGGAGCGGAGCGGGCCGCATGGCACCAGGCACTGGCCCATGCCGCGCCATCTTTCCGCTGTGACCTCAATGGAATGCGAACGAGTGCTGTGAGTTTTACTCCCATTGTTGCATACCTCCAGATCCTCGTCTAAAGCATACAATAGCTGCTGCATTTGTGAACTGTCCACAGTAATTTGGGGCCGAGAATACGGTAATCAACCGTCGCCCGGCCATCATTTCGTAACCGCCATCTTGAACTACCTGAATTTCTGGCATTACATTTGTTATGATGCTATGGTTAAGTGTGACGTCAAGAAAAATTCCATGATTTTTGAAAGTTATACGCTCAGAAACAACGTGGTCAACCTAAATCCGTTTTGAAATCAATCGTTTACAACCATGAAGCCGATGATTGAGCTCGGGGCGCGCGCAACCGCACCTACTTGTTAATATCATGCGGCACATGTGGCCAGTGGTAATAGACTGTCGCAACAGTAATCACGAAAACATCACCGGCTGTAAAGGGTTTTTGATTTTGTTTATTTTCCGTAAGTTTGCTTCAGCTCACATTCCTAAGCTCACGCTGATGAGTCGAAATGACCGAATTCAAGCCGAGCATTTTGACAAGCCTGCTGCATGAAGCGACTCTTTCGACATGGTCTGATTCTGAACCATGGAATTGTACGACCACCACTAAAACCTGGAAGCTCAGCGCATGAACTGCTCACTTTATTCCGGCGAACACTCATCGTGGGTCTGAATTCACTTCCCGTGCTGTGCATCCCCTTCATTGATGAGCCCCTCTTTTGTTTTTTTTCTTATACGAGATGGGTCGTTGCGAATGAAAATACAACTTTTGCTGTGCCAAGGATTCCGCCCTAGGATGAAAAGGTGCCTTTAGCGTGGAGAATCTGTCTGACATTGGGTACCCGCTCTGCCGAGGCCAACGTACCCTCTAACCTCGAGTGGAACCCATCCATCCCTTGTTAGTAGGATCGGCCCATGTTAGATCGATGAGTAAGCCACGATCAAGCGGTTCGCATGGACGAGGAATATTTCGAATCACGTCGAGGTGGTTCAGCTCTGGTGAAAGACCTCCGTGCATGCACAAGACCTGAACAGAATAGACTACGATGCAGTTAGAGAATTTTTGCTCTGCAACACCTCCTCTCGTCACTTTGCACAACATTAACGGTCCACTTTTTGACAAACGTGCTCCAGGCTCCTCAAAGTCCCCCGGCCTTCAAGTCGCCTAACGGGCACAAATCCAGGAAGCTGTAGTGGGGTACAGTGACTTGAGAAAGGAACTGGGGGTTGGTGTAGTTAGGAGGGAGGCATAGTTATACGGAATGAGCCCTGACGGGGGAGGACCTATTGGGACGATGAGATTACGCACTCATTCTAAGGTTTGCAGTTAGTTCTAGTCTCCAGGACTAGGGACAGGCTGTGTGGATGTGTGGGCTTTCTGCATAATGCTCCCTCCCCCACCCCTCAAGTACAGAAGGATGAGGATATATGGGCCTTCTGCATAGTGATGCCCCCCACCCTCGCAATCAGGTTACCGGCGCCATCAAATAATCCGCAAGTGGAAACGAAAGCCTTTGAGCAGCCAATATTGTCGTGTGGCATGAACACATAGAAGGCTTAAGTTCAGCGTATTTGCGGTGTTGCTACTTATTTAGGCGCTCTGCGGCCGCACGCTCCATTTTCGTTTTTGTGGTCAAGTTGAGTCCGTTGTGGATAGTCGGGTACATAGCCACAATGACGTTTTCGTAAAAAGAGGCAATGCTAGCTTATATTATTGTTTTTTCATATCTCTTTTTCACGCACGCTACCTTGTTCCTTTCTGGGTGTGGTTTGAATGTTTAGTTTTTGTTCAGCTTTCCGCAAAGCAGAAGATTCGACTGTGGAAGCTCACCTTTTTGAGATAAGTCCAGCGAGAGGTATTCTGTTGAAGCATGCTTGGAAATCCCACCAAATACCAGCTCCATACTTCATCACGCATTCGTTGTAGAAGCCGTATATCTTATTGACGGCCGGCGTTTCGTGATTGCCTCGCAGCAGAAAGATCCGATCACGATAGCGCAGTTTCAGGGCGAATAGAAGAATAATGACCTGAATCCTCATACATTTAGTGCTGTGGTACCTTCTATAAGGTTTTTACTGATGTAGTCCATGTTCGATACAGTGTCACTCTTGTCCGTAACAAACGCGGGCGGTCGCTCGACAGCCTTAAAGGGGAAGAAAACAAAAAGCATCATAAAACACTGAAACTTCCATTGTGAGGTCGCGCCTGTGGTATAACGGAGAGACAGGGCGCTGGGAGGAGCGGGAAGACGCGAGAGAGCACAGATCTTAGGGAGCGCAGACGCCGGGACCGCGATTCACAACCATGGCAGCGGTCGCAACGATTAAGCGAGGGCATTATCTCCTTTCGGGCACTTCCAAGTCGCGACAGTAGCAACACCTTTGTAATTAGGGTCCTACTACCTAACCCAGAGAAGGAGTTTCCTGATATTTCGCGGCCCGTGCCTTCAAAATCGACCAATTCACGCTGTCACCCTATTATTCGCATTTTCACTTCTGAAAAAATTTGAAGTTAACGACTACTCGCTCAGGTGATAGACACCGCGCGCGACCGCACGCGTCATATCTTGGCCAAGTAACGAGTGGACACTAGTTGTCAATGTTTCTCATCTCCAGCTAGGTGACCAACCTCGACACCTTGTGGTCCACGATCTACGTAGTCCCCAAGAAATAATAATTTCTCTTGAGGGACGCGTCCAATAAGGTCAAATAGACGATTCATATCCTGTAAATTTGAATCATCGGAATCGAAATGTTTTCAATAAATTAAACGTTCGCATTCTGAACAATTACCGATGGACAGGGGAGCGTAGCTGCGATGCGCCCGCATTGGCGAGCGAGACGCGACGCATCTGCACGCGTCCGTTGCCGGCTGTTTCTATTGCAAGATTACAGTGTGAACACACCTGATATTGTGCATGAATATCGCCGATGACTTTTATTGGTACTTCACATTCACACAAATTACTTTCCTCCATAAATACAATTGCAGCCTTGAATTCAATCGCTTTACTTTCGAGATAATTCCTATTGAAATTGGCTGATTACTAACATGGTGTGGATTAGGAGATAATTGCGGCGACAGTGCCGTCTCAAGTGGGGTTACGGCCCCGTTCATACTTTGAGAATCGGCTTATATGCGAAGATGCGATGATGCGACCAAGCGATTCTATCAAATGAAGTGAGTGCATATCGATTGACTCGACTCCGCCTTAAAGCGTCACATGCGAGATAGCGTCTGGATTTCAGCGATCGCGCGAGGCGAAGATGCGATGGGGCGACCAGCGTGGAAGGATTTGATACGTGCGACAGATAAGATTCAAGTCTATGGATGAGTCATTGATTGATTCCTGACGCGTCGCGGCGCGTGCGTCCTTTGCGAACGTGCTACCATCGCG